ATGTCTGACACAGAGGGACATGCTGATGCACTCAGAAATGCCATCAGAAACACTGATGCAAACACACAGCATGGTCATCCAGGGCCTCAAGCCTCACAGACACCTACAACCCTCAACATGCAGAACCCACCTCAGTATGAGGATGGTGTCCTGTGTGATAGCAATTCTCAGGGATAGTTGAGGCACACTTGGCCAATACCTGATGAGTTTCTCTACATGTCCCATATGGGCTTAAAAAGAGTATATTCTCTAACTTGGGGGTGTAGAGTTTTTCATATTTTCCTTAAATCAAGCTTGTTAATTATTTGGTTTGTGTTATTGGTATTTTTTGACTGCTTCATTCTATTAGTTTCTAAGAGAGGATTGTTAAAATATTTTACTGTGGGAGTGGATTGATCCAATTCTCCTTGTAATTCTGTCAATTTTTACATCATTTATTTTTAGGCTATATTGTTTGGTGCATAAAGGTTCAGGATTTTTGTAGTTCTTTGATATATTTTTTCATTTAATTATTAAGTAATAAACCTCTTCAGGTCTAACAAAAAAGAGAAAGAGAGTTGCCCATGGACATATGTGGTCATCCACAGATACAGCAGACACTGATCTACAAAGACACACAAGTCCATGGATACCCCCATGTACACAGGTGAACACCCATGGTGGGGTGACATGGTGGGGCCCACTAAGGTCCCCCCACTGCCCTGCTGAGTCCTGGAGGCACTGGGGCAGGCAGGGCAGACCTTGATGTCTCCTGTCTCCTGTTCTTCGAGAGCGGATGCTCAGAGCCTCGGCCAGGCTTGGCTCTGGAGCTTACTGCTCTCCAAGGGTGGGGTGCCAAGGTGCTCAGGCCAAGTCAGGGGCTTTCTTGGAAGCTCTCTGGTTGGCCTGCCCATGGGCAGAAGGCAAGTCTTGGAGCCTATTGGCTGGAGAGGTCAGCCCTGTGATGCCCTGGAGCTTGGGACACACTGACAGATACACAGTCACCTTCTGCCAGCTCCCCAGTCTAAGCTGGGAGCAGCCAGGTCCCTTGGCTGGGCCTGTGGGTAGCCAGTGCATTGGCTTGTGAGTGTGGCATAGCAGAGGCCCTGGGGCAGGATTCTGGCTTTGCTGTCCCCTCCCTGAGCCTTGGCCTCCCCATCTCTCACCTCACCCAGTCTTTGCACAGGCTGCCCCGTGGGTCTCCCAGAGGCTAATGATTAGTCCATTATCTCTCAACTAGAAAGTGAATAAACCAGCCCTGGGTCCAGAGAGAATCTCTGGAGCTAGCCTGCCTCTAGAAAGGATGGGAGTTCTAGAAAATTTGCATTTTTCACCACTTCTGTCACCACAGTGAGCCTCCTCTCAGGTCTCCTACCCTGTCTTCATCCCACTCCCAGGCCAGGGGGAGATGAGGCACCACACAGGCCACAGAGAATTCCTTTCCTGTAAGAGGCACAGACTTCAGTGAGGGCACAGCAGGGTGGGGCAGAAGCTGGCTCCAGCCAGGGATTGGGAAAGCCTCCTGCAGCTGGCAGGATCTGCGTTGGGCCTGGAGCAGTGGACTTCAGTAGGTTTTGTGCACAAATGGAGAGCTTTCTGATGCTTCAGAAGAAATGTATAGATTATTCTATGGTTTATACTTGCATTCACAAAACTGATTGTTACTTTTTTTCCTCCCTTTATCTGTGAAATATAAGACTTGGGCCAGGCAAAACTACCTGGGGATGTGCAAACTATTTTTTTTCCCAACAACACATGATTGGCTCTAAAAAGCAATTGTTTCAAATGTAATGGGTTGTAAAGAGTAACATAATTTTCAAATTTTTACCTGCTTTTTCCTGGACATCAGGTTTCAACAGGCCTTTAACTGCCCCTTCCAATTCTGAATTATCAAGCTTTTCCAGATATAAGTGACACAAGTGCCTTACATGGTCATAGGAAGGCTGTCAGTAGATGTTGAAGCAATCAGAGGAGGCTTCCTGGTGGTGGTGGTGTAGGGGGTATTGGGAAAGAAAGGTTGCCAGCCTATGTGGTTCTCAGCAGTCAGAAAGGGGGTACCTTCTGGAGTTCCCAGGGCAGTTGGCTGCCCCATCTCCTTCCCTAGATCTCAGAACACTAGGCCTGGAACCACGACCCCCTGAGGTGCCTTTAGGTAGGGGCTGGGACTCTCAGACCTGGTTAAGAACCAGAAGAGGAAATGAGCTTGTCCTGGCCACATTTGTGAGAGGGGAGGGGCAGGGAGGAGGGAGTCTGGGATGGGGGCCACTTACAGCCATGTCTCCATTAATCCTCAAGGAAGGGCTGGTTTCAGGACTGCTGCCAGCTAGCAATTAGGTTGACCCTGGAGAGCAGAGGAGAGCAGGAGAGGGAGCCATGGGCTCCCATGTGCTCAGACACAATGGGGAGTGGGCCTCACAGGAGTGAGTATGGCTGGGAGTCAGTACTAAGCAACCCGGTCTCACCAGCCTGACCTCCATCAAGCCTGTTCCAGCTCCCTGTGGGCCTCAGCCAGCATCTCCAGCCACCCTCCCTCCCACCTCCATACCCCTGTGCAGGCAGGACCCCTCCTCTTCTGCCTGCCCCCAAATCCTGTGAATAAGATGACAAAGAACCATAATAAGAGCCACAACCACTGCGCCCTGGTCTCTTCCTCCCCTGCAACCTTTTCCAAATGCCCTGACACAGCCCATCTTGCCTTTGAACCTCCTGGCTGCTCTGGAGAGTGGGCAGGGACAATCACATCCATTTTGCAGATGGGGAAACTGAGGACCAGAGAGGAAACAGACCATGCTTATGGTGCCAGCAAGGAGAAGAGTCAGAACTTGAACATGGGGCTTCTGGCTCCACAGCCCAACCTTGGGGCTAGAAGAGAACAGGGTATGGCCCGAATGGCTGGCTGACCTAGGGGACGCAGCTCTGTGGACAGACAGCCCGGAGGAGCTGGGGCTGCGAGGCAGGGGAGGGGATGTGAGTCATTCCCTGAACCAGGGCTGCAGACAAAGGCGGGAAGAGAATTGTTCTTGCAGGACGGCCTCAGGGTAGAGGTGGGAAAACCTCTGAAGGGATGGAGGTGCAATTCCCACCTAGGATTTTGCAAAATGCCCTATGGCCTTCGAGACACCCCCAAACTTCCAGCTCCAGCCTGTTTGGACACAGCAGCCCTGCCTGGGAGAAGTCAGCCTCAGTGACCACGTCTGGGTATCTCTGCGAGTGGGCCTTGGCCGACGTGGTCCAGCTCCCCTATGTGGGAGCACCCGGCCCTTGGGATCCCCACATGGTGGAGGCACAGGGGCGCCCTGTGCAGGGGTCTTCCTGGTGCAGCTGCAGGGGAAAGGTTCCGGTGACCTCATGGCAGCTCCATTCCCTTCTCTTTCCATGACTCACGTTTCTAAAAGTGGCCCAGGAGCAAGTGGCAAGCAGACAGTGAAAGGGGGGCCTGTGTGACCAGGGAGAAGGAGGGCAGGACTGGGGCCAGAAGGGAAGGAGAGAGAGAGGAAAGGAGGGACATGGAGGGTGGGGCCGGAAGAAATGGGTGAGAGACAGTGGACCAGGGAGGGAGACAGGCAGAGGATGGAGGCAGCAGGGGCACAGGCACAAAGGAGAAAGGAAGGGGAGGTGGGGGAGCTGGGAGAGCTGCTGGAGAAGGCCCTCCCTGACTGCAGCTGCAGGATTTTTACATGCAGCAGGGCATGGGTGTGGTGTTCTTCACTTCTGGGTTATGAAGCCCTGTCCCCAGTGGGGTCTTCCTGCCCCCTGGCATCTCCTCTCCTCGGAGTTGTCTGACCATCTCCTGCCATGCCCAAGGCTCGTCCCTGGCCTGTGGCCTTGGGTGCTCCAGGGTGGATGGCCTGGACACAGCTGCACATGAAGCCCTGCCTCGTCCAGGCCTCTGGTGTTAGGCAGAGTGGGGCAGGGTCTAGGCAGGCCCTGGGGATGGAACGAGCTGGAGTGTCATGAGCAGGTGTGGGTGGGGACAAGGCTGATTTCCACTCCCTGCTGTGTGTGCTGAGGGCCTAACTCCCTCTGGGCACAGTAGGGGTGGGGCTGAGTTATGGGTCCTGAAGGTGCTGAGGGTCTGGCCCTTAGTGCCTGGGCTGGGGGCCCTGCTCCTGCTCACCAGCCTCGCTGCCTCTCCCCCTACAGCTGGCCCCTGGTGTGAACTCGGGCCAGGGCCTGGGCATCGAGATCATTGGCACCCTTCAGCTGGTGCTGTGCGTGCTGGCCACCACCGACCGCAGGCGCCGCGACCTGGGTGGCTCGGCCCCCCTTGCCATTGGCCTCTCTGTAGCCCTGGGACACCTGCTGGCGGTGAGTGGGGGCCTTCTCATTGGGGGTAGGGAGAGCAGGGCCAGGGCAGCGGTGCCCCGCCATGAGGGGCTCATGCCATGGGCTGGGGGCTGGGGGCCCAGGGGAGGGAAGCACAGGGACCTCCTGACCATCTTTCGGAGTCAGTGCCCCTCTCCCTTTCTGGTTCTGATCGTACCCTTCCCACTTCTCTTCCCTGTCTCTTCTCCCCCGCCCCCGTCACTTTCTCTCCACCTGTTTCTCTGCCCTCACCCCTTCTCCCTCCCTCCCTCTCTCTTACACCCTCCCCTCCCTCGCAGATCGACTACACAGGCTGTGGCATTAACCCTGCTCGGTCCTTCGGCTCTGCAGTGATCACCCATAACTTCAGCAACCACTGGGTAAGGGACCCATGGCCACCGTGGAGGCGGGTAGGAGGCTTTGGTGTCACATGGTAAACCCAACCCCACCCATGTGGTGTCCTTTCTGAAATCAGGAAACTGAGGCCTGAGATGCAGGGTGGGTGGGGTCACTGGCCAGCAGCTGTAGGCTGGGCCTCCACCCCCCAGCCCAGACCTGCCCATGCTGCCTGGCCCCCAGGTCATCCAGCAGCGTGGTTGGGAGCGTGGGTCCAAATCCTGGCTCTGCCACCTTCTGATCCAGTGTGACCTTGGGGAGGCCGCTCGCCCTCTCAGTGCCTCTGTTCCTGAGCCGTGAAGTGGGGGTGTGGGTGGCACCTACCTCCCAGGCTGCGGGGAGGAGGAAAGGACTCTCGTCTATCCATGAGCTGAGCTCAGCACACAGGAAGTGTCGATGGATCTCGCTCTTGTTCTCCTTGATGTGTATGTTGCAGGCCACCTTTTAATAGACTGGACTGTCTCTGGGGCCCCTCCAAACCTGGGCAGGTGGGGACAATGGCCATCCCTGCCTAAGCTGTGCCACATGGAGGCAAGGAGTTGTCCTTACCACACTCCCTGGCCTGGGCCAGTTCTGGGGGCACTGCAGTAGGGAAGTTGGGCTTCGGGCTTGTCCGCCTCTGTCCCAGGCACAGGTGGGAGAACCTGTCCAATGGCGTGGTGGTGGTGGTGGGGGGTGTAATTCAGGGAAGCTTCCCAGGGGAGGGGGCTTTCAGGTGTCACCTCGAAGGCCCGGTCAGGTGCCGTCTGACCACACCCGCTCTGCTCCTAGATTTTCTGGGTGGGGCCGTTCATCGGGGGAGCCCTGGCGGTGCTCATCTACGACTTCATCCTGGCTCCACGCAGCAGCGACCTCACAGACCGAGTGAAGGTGTGGACCAGTGGCCAGGTGGAGGAGTACGACCTGGACGGCGATGACATCAACTCCAGGGTGGAGATGAAGCCCAAGTAGAGGGGTCCTGGCCCGGGCATCCACGTGGGGGCGGGGCAGGGGCGGGCGGAGGGGGGGATGAAATCCATACTGTAGACACTCTGACATGCTGGCTGAAGTCACTTCCTGAAGATCTGCCAGACCTGCATGGTCGAGCCTCATTTAGGGGTGTTTCTATCACTTTCTTTCTCTTTCTCTGTTTCCTGGCCTCGGAGCTTCCTGGGGACCAAAGTTTACCAATTCACCCACTCCCTTGAAGTCAGAGGTGAAAGAGAGGGACCCACCTGCTAGCTGTCCCCTCAGAGTGTGATGGGAGGTGTGCCAGGAAGTCCCCCCTCATCCCCAAGTTGCTCACCAACTCACCTGCCGCAGGTGCCTGGGGATCCGCCATTATTGCTTTGTGCCTTTGGGCATAGCCCTCCTTCTCCTAACATGTGCCTTGCCCCCAAGGGTGCTTTGAGGGTGAAGAGCTCCCAGGAGGTGCAGTGGGAGGGGGCAAGTTGCAGACAAGCTCGCCCCTTCAGTTTGGCTCCCAGGGCCCTCCTCCTTGGATTTGCTGCATGACCTTGGAATCGTCCCTATCTCAGGGCTTCAGTGGCTCTATCTGTAAAGTGGCAGGGACGGGAAGAGCTATATGGGCCTGAGGGCCCTGTGGGATTCTATAAGTATAGTCACATGATGGGTTTTAGAAGATGTAGTCTAGACCAGCGCTGTTTCTTCCACATGCCCTGTGTTCTTTGCCCGAGTACAGAGCAGTGTCCACGTACCTATGTGCACATGTGTGCACATGCAGACAAGCTTCAGAGCAGAAATTGACCATCTAGGTGGTTGGAAGTTCCTGTTTGCTGCAGAGAGGCTTCCCCAGACAGGGCCCGCTGTTGCAGAGTGAAGGCCAGTCAGAGCGTGCGGGAGGAGAGCCGTGTTCTTTCAGGGAGTTTTAGTTGGTCTTTCCACCCATCACTGCCTCATCTTGCTCTTGCCAGTGTAGACATAGGTCACCATGATGCGGCTGTGTGTTTATTGAAGAGTATGTGGGTCATCTGAAGCCCCACGTCTGAGGGCAGAATGACCCTGATACAGATCAACCCATGGAGGAAAATGCCTCTGCTGGGCCTGTGGGGGGGTGCCAAGACCCCAGCTGATCCCTTGTTCACGGGCTCCTGGTCAGAGGCATCTGGGGTGGCTGCGGAACCTGCACAGGCTTGCTGGGTGACCCCAGGCCACAGATCTCCCTCCTTACTGACCTGGAGGGGAGAGGGCAGCCTTGACCTGGTGTGGTAGCTATTGCCACAGCCCAAGGACAGTTCCAAGCATGAGTCTCCTTTGGGGGCTGAAGTCTCCCACTCAGCTATCTACATAGTCCATTCCGTTCCACCAGGGCCAGAGCAGCTCCACGACTGTGCCCTCCACCATGACGGCAATGAAAACTGAGAGACACAATCACGCAGGTATTTCAAAGCAGTGGGACAACCAGGAGGCCCTTGACAGTCACCAGCACATCACATCTGCACACTCTCTTCTCCATTCCCCAGCAGGAATGTCTAGTCCGTTTAACAGACAAGAAAACTGAGACCCGAGGTCCCACAGCTAGACAATGATTGGGCCAGGCCATGTCTCTGGACTGTGAGGCTGACCCTCTCATTCCTGTGCCTCAGTTTCTGCCTGGGCAATGGCCAGCGGCCAGGAG